CTTTCTCATACATTTAACTCACTATTTTCCGACCTTAATCGCGCGAAAACCAGTGTATGCATCGAGTGACGTACTAATATGTTTGGTAATTCGGTAAGTTTAAATATATATTTTTATCAAAGTTGTAAATGTATACATTTCATTTTGTTTCTTACGTAGAAATTTGCACGAAAGAATCATCCGCTTTCTTATTTCTCGCGCATTGTTTATTTGTTGATTGCTGATTCGCTGTGACTCGTGATTTGTAACTCGCTTCACGATATTATTCCGCAAAACTTTTCCTGTTTGTTACTTTTCGGATTTAATAACCCGCGAATACGATATCGTTTGAAAATTTATTAAGTTCTTCAAGGAATATTTATCAAGCTTTCCTATGAAGGTTTACTGAAAAGACAATGATAATTGACGCGCACGCGATAAATAGTCATGCAATCAATGCAACGTAATCTTCGTTACTTATGCTATATTATGGATACTAAGTTATAAACGGCATTTTCTCTTGTAACAATTTCGACTAGAATTTGAATCTTTTATTCTTGTATTAATTGATTTGACAAGAGACACGAACAATACGTGTAAATCGTCCAGTAAATTATATAAATCAATTATCTTGTTTTTGCACAAAATGATTTAGCTAAATACAAGTGCGTTATAAAAAATATGAGTGTTATATTTAAATTTATATTCATATTATAATAATATGAGCTGTACATACATGTTCTAAATATTTTTTGGCAATAAATTCTAGTATAGTATTGGTTAAGTAAAAATTAATTGAGTAGACATAAAACAAGTATTGCATTGATCAAAATTTTTGTTGCATCATTTCAATGTCAAACAAATATAAATATATGTATATAATATATTATAGCCAGTTGTCTTTATAGTTAAAAGACATAATATAAATATTCTAGATATTCTATTGGAAGATAGAATATAACACATTCTATAAGTAACAAAAATATGAAGGTCAAAAAATATATTTTGCAATGTTCATGTTACTTTTGTGTAACCATAAATAATTTACTAATTGAATTAATTACAAACTTGAAAGAAATCAAATTCATCATTAATAACATCTCATGTTTGTAGAGTGATATATATATATTTATATATTTATATATAATGCGAAAGTTCATTATTTTAAATGGATAAGATATGATAACACTGACAGCATATAATCTTTTCTCAGATTATACACATTGCAAGATAAATACATGTGTGTCATGAATATATTTTCCAACATGTTAAAGTAACTTTCATATTGTACAAGGATATAGTTGTAGAATTCAATGAATTGTTTAAATATTAAAAAATATAAAGTTTTTATATTTATACATGCAATGTTCTCTAATGTTACTCTAATATTCAAATAATTTACAGATATGAGGTGGATGATTCATTCCAGAATGCATCGCATTTATTAAACATCTTCAAAATAAATGGATTTTCTTGTCAACTAAGAGGCAAAGTGTTCTTGTTTGATACATAGAATAAAAGAAAAAGATGTCCCAATTAAGTATTAGTACAGGAAAGAGAGGGAGGAGTGTTGCAAGCTCCTCTGCGTCTACAGTATCATCTCTAAGCAGCTCAACTGACTTAGCAAGTCTATTTGAATGTCCAGTTTGCTTTGATTATGTTCTTCCACCAATCTTACAATGCCAGAGTGGACACCTTGTTTGTAGTAATTGCAGACCTAAACTCAACTGCTGTCCTACCTGTAGAGGTCCATTAGGTATGTTGTTAATTTTAAAATCGAATTTGCAGAAATAAAAAGGACTATTAATATTATTTTAATGTACAATTTCAATATTGAAATGTAAGGAAGATTATAATAATATATTCATGAATCTAAAATACAGGTAATATCCGCAATCTGGCTATGGAAAAAGTAGCAGGCAACGTGATGTTTCCTTGCAAATATTCAACAAGTGGATGCACAGTCTCATTAGTGCATACTGAAAAGGCAGATCATGAAGATGCATGTGAATTCCGTCCATACAGTTGTCCTTGTCCAGGTGCTTCTTGTAAATGGCAAGGTTCTCTTGAACAAGTAATGCCGCATCTTGTTATGAGTCACAAAAGCATTACTACTCTTCAAGGTACTTTTGTTAAATAAGACATATATTGGCGTTTCTCTAATTAGACAAATGCTTAAATTTTTTTTGTTATAGGAGAAGACATTGTTTTTTTAGCCACAGATATTAATCTTCCTGGTGCAGTGGATTGGGTAATGATGCAATCCTGTTTTGGTCATCATTTTATGCTAGTGCTTGAAAAACAAGAGAAATATGATGGACATCAACAATTTTTTGCAATTGTTCAATTGATTGGATCAAGGAAACAAGCAGAAAATTTTGCTTATAGGTAAATATAATATACATAATAGTTACTGCGGATTGTGAACTGAAACAAATAGCGATGTAATATAAATATGTATGTTTAATAGACTAGAACTGAATGGGCATAAAAGACGCCTGACATGGGAAGCTATGCCGCGTTCGATTCACGAAGGTGTTTCATCTGCAATTTTAAATTCAGACTGCCTTGTATTTGACACCTCCATCGCGCAATTATTTGCCGATAATGGAAATCTAGGAATTAATGTTACAATTTCTATGGCATGAGGAAAGCTGGAAAAAGCAGTGTAAAATCTTTTAAACGTATCGTGCAGAGTTTGTACTGATTACCCGTTATGTACATATAGCATTTTTTTTACGTTACCACAGATAAATATTAGCAATATGGATGTTAGGAAATGTTTGGAATGTGTTGATGAAGCACAGTAATCAAACGCTCAGTAACAGGATCTCTCTATAGAAGCTTTAAAGTGTACTTGTATATGATATTAACACTACACATTGAAACAATAAACAATCTTTCAGTATACTTATGCTGACTTTAAAGCTTTAGCACTGAGTATAACATCAATTCCAAAATGTACCTGACACCTATTGCACATCGTTATCGTGTTCTTTTAGTCACATTTTACTGAGACAATTTTTATAGAAGCAATTCTCTTTTTAATTTTGATGCTTTCTAATGTAAACACATTCTTTATAGAAATAACGTTATATTTTACGAAAAGAAATATAGTTTTCATTAAATGATCAATTATGATCTGTTAATATAAAGCATGGCATTATAAACAAAAATTCAAAACACATACCTGAAAAAGTCCTCTATACGTAATTTTTTACTATATATAGTAATCAAATTGAATTGAGTGTACTAAGCATATATCCGTTATTATTTATTTTTATTTAGAAATTTCGTATGCTTGCATATTTATTATAATATCTTAACTTCGTCTATAACTATAATTAATAAATAAGTTCTTTTTTAAGCAATTTTACTTTTTTTAAATTAAAACTTGCATTACATTTATTTTTCACACTCGATACTTTATACCTTTTGCTTTCTGTTCTTTATGTTCCAAAAACTTCAGAATAAAAATAACTTTAGATCATATAAAAAATCATATTAAATCAAAAATTAGTAATAACTCTAAAAATATGCTACTAAGAATTTATAATTATTTCAGTGTATTCAATTAGGAGCAATTACGATTATTTAATCACTACAAATTTTTTTGTTTGTATAACGTACAAAATTATTATTTGCTATGAACATTATAATAATTGACAACATTGTTTCAACTTGTATTAATTTTATAAGGAACAAAGAATTGAAGTACATGTATCAGCAATATATACGGGAACACGAAAGTAGATGGTATACGATAAACGGATGCAAATTGATAGAATAAAATTGCGCAATGTCATCCTTTTTTATTGACACAGGAATGGATAAATTTGTATAAGAAGTTATAATTTCAGGAATATATAGATTCATTAAATTGTTGCATAGTAGTTTAGTAGATAATAAGTGACGTTGTACATAATCTTTAAATTATCGTCCGTATAAATCTTTTAAGTGTCGTATATTAAATCTAACAAGAAAGAATGTAATCTTTAAATATTGATTTTAAAGAAATGCATAAAAAATTAGAGATGTAAAAATTAATGTTTGTGCGTTCAAGTAAAGTTAAAATTTCATGGGCTTGATCTTAATCAAATTTGAGATTCTCAGGTCAAAACGAAATATGAGAAAGAATCGTTCTTACACCACCATGAATTGGACATAAATTACTTGAGCATTCCAGGCGTAGATGAAAGATTACTGTAAATAGAACAAATTTTACATGTGATAAAATTATTAATTGGTAATGTAAATTATCATGTCAACATGCATAGACATGAAGTTCAAATGAATATGGGAACCAATTGCATGTTATGCATATGTATAAGTATATATAAATATATAAGCGTACATGATATATAAATATATAAAAGTGTATTTATATATATGTATATATATGCGTATAAAACTTACATTATTATTTCTAAGTTTACATAAATGTATTATTAAAGAAAATATTTAATTTCGATAATTTTAAAGTTTCAGCAATTTTGGCGGTTACTAAAAAAAGACGTTTGAATCTAACGTTCACGTTATTGTTACACTATCAGACACTATAGAAATACCTCCTTCCCTTATAGTTGTAATGTATCAGTGGAACCGCATATTTTGCACACTTAAATGTAATTAAAGACATTTGTTGGAGAGCTATTATATTAAAAAGCTTGATCATAGAACTAGGATAAAACTGATCGGATAAAATATTGAAAAAAAAAAGTACGCTAATAATTAAATACGATCTTATTGAATTATCGTCATTAATGATCGTCCCGAGTATTAAAGTACGAATTTCGTTAAAAGGATGATATATCGCTAAGTAAAATGTATATACATATAATTTAATAATATTATTTAGATATAAATTTCAAATTCATCACAATGTAAGGTTTAATTGTTTATTATAGCAATTTATTCTTACAGATAATAATGGTATACAAATATTTATACCAATACAATCACAAAAAATAGTTCATTCACTTTCCAATTGCATATGTTTTTGAAATTTTGTAAAACTAAGTTAAATTTTTAAACAACATATTCGCTATAAATATTAAGTATTAGTTAATAGTAAAATTAAAAATTTAATACTTTTCATTGCAATGTAAAAAGAAATTTTCTAAAAGTAATGTTAAATTAAGGACTGGATTATATATGTATATGTCTACACTGCCAATATACAGGCAGTGTAAGGATGTATATTAGATTATAATTTCTATTTTGATTCTACATACCACATATATTTTTATGAATTATGATTTTTTTTTTTAATAATTTAATACTAAGATTTCTACATATTCTCGTAATTTTAATTGAATAATTTATTTTCGATTACGTATAAAATCACGAATAAATACTTCGATATTGGTAGTATTAAATATGACACTACAAATCCTGTTCCTAAACGTCGAATAAATTTGTTATTAAATTAATATTGTACGTGTAAGTTTCATTAAGATATCGCTTCCATATTTGTATTACATATAGATAATATAATTTAATGTGTACATGTTAATTTATTTAAAAAATCAAGCTTAAAGATTAATTAAAATTACATTAAAATATTCTTTTAAGTTTATAAATAACGTTTAAAATTGTTCATTTTTCTTTATTTTTTATCAAAAGAAATACTTTATAACTATTATATTATAGTACAGTGCCATCTATGAACCATCTAAGCGTATTATTGGAACTAATCGCTTGAATTTAGAGTTTGAATTCTTCTCTATATTCAACTTCGTGCGTGCGTAAATTCTACTTGTAAGGAATCACGTCTCGTCAGCATTTTTCTAAAGTTTTCTCATAGTACTATAAGCGTTTGAAGAAGTCGATACAATATAAACGAAAAAAATGGCAAATTACCACAAACCAGAAGCGAAAACCATTCAAGAATTGAAAGATATTGCGACAAAGTTGAGAATTCATTCAATTAATGCTACACAAGCTAGTAAATCCGGGTATGTATGATATTATACTTTATGATAGCAATTTCATTAATCAAGTGTTCATTGAATAGCTTTTTTGTAAATCAATATAAATTGACATAACATTAACAATTTTTTTATTACTTTTGTATGTCAATTTAAACAAATTCGAACATTTGCAAAATCGCGGGAAAAATTATTCTGATAAAAGTGATTTGAAAAAAGAATATTTGCTCTGTAGTCGATTTATTGCACAATATGCCCATAATTTTTCCTGTAACATTCTTACTAAGATTGAGATCTTGGAAAATTTTCACTCAGTACATTGTTAATTTGCTTTCACATAATTTACTTATTTAAGTTATGTACGTATGCTATATCATTTTTTAACATCTCATTACATCACGATTCACAGTTCAAGGTAATTTTGTAATTGCATAACATATTTGTGCATTTATTAGAAATCTATGCAATGATAAAAAATTAACTTCAAAATAGTTATTTAAAACTGTTGTTAATTATTATTGGTAACAATTACTGATTAAAATAGCATAAAATATTAAATAAGTTTTAACTGAAAATCTAATTATAAATAAATAAATTTTTTAAATGTAGGTATAGATTCTTCCTGATAAATCCTTTATTGATTAAGAAAAATGAACCTATAAATGCGTACCATGTTAACATAATTTAAAGTCGTATCAAATTATATTTATATATTATTAACAATAACAATTTGATGGTCAGTTAAGAATTGTGACGTGTTTAACAGTAAAAAAGAAGTTCAAGTGTTTAAATGAAGAGTTGCAAATGTAGCCAGGAAGTCGGTACCATGTTTTCTTATGCCTCCTTTTATACATAGCAACCGCATACTTAACACGTGCACGATACGAAAATGCACGCTATGATATCGTTACGTAACGAACGTATGAATGCTAAACGATAAAAAATTTTGAATATCGATCAATTCTATTAAACATTTAAAAATTTATTGATATTTGCCACGATAAAGGTACAAATTCTTTGTACAATTTAAAAAGTTAATTTATTATTTGTCCTTTTGCTATAACTATAATTTTTATAAGAAAATATATAATATAAATGATTGTATAATAAAGTAACAAAAATTTCACGAATTACTTGTAACTGCTATCGATAAGTATAGTACTATTACAAAAGATTAAGTATTTATAAGTTATTTTGTTAAAGCAAATTACTGCTTTGAAATATGGTACAAAAACGGTATTGATAAGGTATTCTTATTATTCAGATTATTGTATATACTTGTGTTATATGTGCATGTGGTTTTCTTATTATCGATATAACGTATGGTCGCGGTAACAGTAGTAGGAGTTTCAAAAAGCTTCCATCCATATCCATGGAACGTGAACGTGTCAATTTTGAAATCTACGATAAGCTGTTTGGAAGTAAGTAGGGAGTTTCGACGCGCAGATACTTTGCAAAAGGTTATGTCTCTCAGTTGTTATCGAATGCTCGTTGAGAAACGACTTGAAATAAGATTTGCCTAAACTTGAAAATGGTCCGCGATACGAATATGGAAAAACTCCAAGATCTTGCGAACAAGCTTCGCATTGAATGTATTCAAGCAACAGAGGCATCGAAAAGCGGGTAGGATACAAATAAAAAATTGTTCATAAATTTTGGTATCTCGTAGCTAGAATTCAAATTTTTTTTTTTTTTTTTATCATTGTTATTTTAAAATTTTATTATCCTGAAATGTGGACTGGTACTGCCGATATGTTGATGTTCTTTCTTGATATCTTAAGTTTTTCCTTGAAGTACCTTGCAATGATCGTAACTGAAAAGATTAAAAAAAAAAAAACCGTTATATTTCAGGTAGTTAAAATTTTGCGAAATTGCTGGAAACTTTTACATCAAAATGGTATAGTTATAAATTACAGCCACTTTATATGTAAATACATTTTATCGTCTCATTTTATTTAAAATTTTTAACCAGATGGCAAAATTAACAATTAATAATCAATATTTTGTCATTACGTTGTATTATTATGTGTGATATTATATGTGATTGCTAACATGAAAATAGAATTAAATATTATTATTCGGAAAAATATGAAGGACTACACACGATCCAGAATAATTAATTAATAATTTGTTTAAGATTAATTAATTAATTTGCTACTTTGCAGTTTATCTTATTTAATCAATGTTAATAAAATAAATTTTGCTATTAAATTTATTGTTATATAAAAAATGTAATAGGAAATAAGAAATTTGTAATTTATAATGTAAAGAATAACCAGTGTTTTTGTTTTGTACAGATCATGTTATATAACTACAATTGTACTTAGTATTCAACGATCGTACGATCAGGAGTGATGACCTTTATCACCTTTGAAGATAATTCGTTTTGATTATGGAACTAATGATAATATATATTCAGCGTTATCTTATATAAATTTGATATTTTCGAATTTTTTATTAATGTTATTCTAAAGGGTTCTTATTCTTTTTTTTTTCGTATTTTTGTGTAGGCATCCAACATCATGTTCGTCTATGGCAGAAATTATGTCCGTCTTATTCTTTCATACGATGCGTTACAAAGTTTCGGCACCACGTGATCCAAGTAGCGATAGATTTGTGCTAAGCAAAGGCCATGCAGCTCCTATTCTTTATGCAGGTAAATCCTTTGAATTTATGCATATTAATTAATTATTTTTCGAAACAGCGAAATTTTAAGATACATATTACTTGTATAATTGCAGCATGGGCAGAGGCAGGACTATTTCCAGTAAATGAATTATTAAATTTAAGAAAAATTGATAGTGATTTGGAAGGACATCCGACTCCAAGACTTAACTTTGTTGATGTGGGAACTGGTTCTTTGGGTCAAGGTCTTTCAGTTGCTGCAGGAATGGCTTATGTAGGAAAAAATTTGGATAAAGCTAACTATCGGTATGTTAATATTAAAATAATCGTTCTTGTAATACATCATATGTATTAAATGGTTTTATGTAAAAGAACATTAAACATAAATTTATCATTGTACATCATATTACTATATTTGTAGTGTATACTGTCTAATTGGTGATGGAGAAGCAGCAGAAGGATCAATATGGGAAGCACTTCACTTTTCATCTTATTATAAGTTGGATAATCTTTGTGCTATCTTTGATATTAACCGTCTGGGTCAAAGTGAACCAACATCTCTTCAACATAATATGGAAGTCTACCGCAAAAGACTTGATGCTTTTGGTTTCAATGCATTGGTTGTTGATGGTCATGATGTAGAAGAGTTGGCTAAGGTATGTATATATATTTATATATAAATAGAAATTAATTATAAATATAAGAAATTTAATTTTTCTTTACAAGGCTTTCCATGAAGCACAAAATACAAAAGATCGACCTACTGCCATTCTTGCAAAGACGTTTAAAGGCAAATATTTCCCTGGTATCGAAGATCTAGAAAATTGGCACGGAAAACCTCTTGGCGATAAAGCGAATGAAGTCATTCAAGTAAGGATTATAGTTTTCATACTGTGACAAATGATTTTATATATGATGAATTAATAAATTGTTCAATTGTAGCACTTAACGGGAATGTTAATAAATCCTGGTCCTTTAGGATTACATCCTCAAAAACCATTAGTCGATGATGCTCCGGTAGTAGATATTAGTAACATCAAATTAGCATCGCCTCCGTCTTACAAACGAGGAGAACAAGTCGCTACAAGATTGGCTTATGGCACTGCTTTGGCCAAGGTTTGTACCTTTTCTTTTTAATTACACGGGTTTGATGCATTTGTAATTATCAATATATTTTTATTGTGCTGTTTGATTTAGTTGGCAAAGAGCAACCCTCGTGTCATTGCTCTAGATGGGGATACGAAAAATTCTACATACGCAGAGAAAATCAAGACAGTTGATCCAAAAAGATTTATAGAAGGTTTTATTGCCGAGCAGAATGTTGTAGGAGTAGCAATCGGTGCAGCGTGCAGAGATAGAACCGTTGCATTTGTATCTGCATTTGCTACTTTCTTTACCCGTGCTTTTGATCAGGTAAAAATATGGAAAGGAAAAAGGAAAATTGCGAAATTTAAATTCAAATCATATTTTAAACTTTTATTTTTATAGATTCGTATGGGTGCTATTTCACAAACGAATGTCAATTTCGTTGGTTCTCATTGCGGTGTTTCGATTGGAGAGGATGGACCATCGCAAATGGGTTTGGAAGATGTAGCTATGTTCCGTACAATTCCCGGTTCCACCGTCTTTTACCCATCCGATGCCGTTTCAACGGAGCGTGCCATCGAATTAGCAGCTAATACAAAGGGTGTATGTTTCGTACGTACTTCTCGTCCTGCCACAGCAATTTTATATAAAAATGAAGAACCTTTTGCCATTGGCAAGGGCAAAGTGGTTAGATCTTCTGGGAAAGATCAAGTTCTTTTGATTGGAGCTGGTGTAACTTTGCACGAAGCACTTAAGGCTGCTGATGAATTGTCTAACATCGGAGTAAATGCTCGAGTAATTGATCCATTTACAATTAAACCACTCGATGCTCAATTGATTGTAAGGCATGCTAAAGAGGTTAAAGGAAGAGTTGTTACCGTTGAAGATCATTATGCCGAAGGTGGTCTAGGAGATGCAGTTCTTTCAGTACTGTCTTTAGAAAGAAATGTCGTAGTTAAGAAGTTGGCTGTTCACGAAGTGCCACGTTCTGGGCCTCCAAATGCGCTACTAGATAAATATGGAATTAGTTCGAACAAAATCATTGTTGCTGTTCAAGAACTGTTGAAGTTAAAAATGTAATTTTATATGAATATTTGATACTGTTTTTAGATTAAGGAACGTCGCTATTTCAAAACTATCATTTTATAAGTAAATAGACATTGTATTTACAAGAAGAGTTTTGTATGAAATTTATCGTTACCTATCTTAAGCGCACAACTTTTTGATGTTAAATATTATATCAAATATGAATAAATACTTTCTGAAAGAATAAATACTTTATTTGCGTTATTGGATATCGAAGAAAATTACGCCAAAATTCACAAGAACAGAATGCGTAAAATGTCCGATCAAGAGTTACATTAAGAGGTATTTTAAGCAAGAAAGATCGCAATTTATAAAATTACGCGCGAAATACGCTGGAAGGAAGTTTGAGGTTTTAAGAAACTAGGAGAATAAGGATTCGAAACTCCAAAAGTCCCTAGATCACGCAACCGTACCGTAAGAATGGGATTGTGATTGGTCGAGAAATTTTGTAATGGCTATAGGGATAGACGAATAAAGAGAAAGATAACAAACGAGAAGAGACAGCAGCGCCACAATTCCCTGTTAAACAAGAAACGTCAACCATTCCCCGTTCTTCAGTCCGGTGTCTGGATTGCCGTTCGCTATCCAAATATCCAGGCTAGCACGGTCAAGTCGTAGATGTGTGCGTGCGCGCAAGTGTCTCCCTCGCTCTTGATTCTCGTTGTTGGGTATTAGTAGTGAGGTCTACCGTGTATACATACAAAAGCGGTGGCACGTGCATGCATGTGTTAACGATATACACGCGTGTGCGTTTCCCGTTCCGCGATTCGCGTATCCCGAAAAGATGGCCGCCATGAAAGCGTACGGTGGTGATGTTGACGTCGTTCACAGCAAGGCCGCGTCACGTCCTCGAAAAGCGTGAAAAGAACGTGATTATTCGAATGCTTCCACGACTCTCGTGGTGCGCTCGTACGAGAACGCGATATAGCGAAAAAGTTGTTGATAATTCGAAACGCGAGTGTGGTATTCACAGGATCCCTCTCGTAGTGTTCGACGAAAACGACGAACAGAAGAGAGGAGAAAGAAGAGAGGGAGAACGAGCGAGGAATGTGCCCAGCAAGGGGTTGAAGGGAATCGTATGTGACAGAGAGAGGAGCGGACGAATAGTCTGTCGAAGAGCGGAGGTAAGAAGAAAGGAAAGAAGAAAAGTTGGAAAGCGCGTGGAGAATACAACAGAGTGATACGGAAGTGAGTGATACGTAGAATCGCGGGTGGTGTGTGGTGTCGCGAGTGAAACAAATGCGTGCGCGTCGTACGCGAACAAGCCTCTCTCTTGCCAACGATATCCCGATCAACTTGTTTTTCGCATTTCTTTGGGGTTGCGTTTTACGTGTGACTCGAAACTTTGTGTCAACGAGGGACGGCCATATTAACCCGTAGCCCCCGCCGTCACACATATTCGAAGAATCTTACCTCTTCGAGGTGGTGCCTCTAGTTTTACGATTTTCGCTACTTTTTTAGTGCGTATCTCGTGTTGCGTTGAGTCCAGTCTTACCGTGTCGTGTCGTATCGTATCGTGTCGTGTCGTGTTGTATCGTATCGTATCGTGTCGTGTCGTGTCGTGTCGTGTCGTGCCTTGCCTTGCTGTATCGTACCGTACCGTACCGTACCGTACGTATCGTGTCGTGTCGTGATTCTCGACTACTTGGATATACGCGTAAGGTAATCGCCAGATTTTCGCCGGATGACGGTGCGTGTACGTAGTGCATGGACGGTGGCACTTGTGCGTACGAGCAACATAAGCGACGGTCACTACGCGAGTTCTATGCCACCCGATGTTCATGTATCGCACCGAAACAACTTACCGGTTCTCCACCACTGTGTCTACCCAGTTTGCCAGCAGTACCACCCTTCCTAAATTCTGTACTACCCGCAGAGTAAGTACATCCGATATATCTTGTAATATTTTTTAATGTTTTCATTTTGGTGTGTATTTTGAATTATATGCAATAAAAGCATACTTTCAATCCAAAGTCGAGCAAGTTAGAAAGCAAAGTAGCAGTGGTTACTTTGAAGCACAGCATTTATTACGGTTAATGTACAAAGTATTAGAGGTATTTTACATACAGATTTTAGAAGGCATTACGTTTCAGAGTTTACGTCTAAAAGGATAGTCATTGAAAGCATATACTTTCTATAACGATTTAAAGATAAGTTGCTTCTTAAATCCATATTTTAATAAAATAGCAACGTCCGATCCATTTGTCGATTACTTTCTTACTAGTTTAACACGTTAACTTTTGTCAAATGTATACACAGAGACTATGGGACAAGAAGCGATTTATCTGGTTAAAGAATGTAAAGCAATCACCAGACTGTATTTTAACATTATCGTTGTATCATCATAGAAATAGTTATGCTGCGTTGTCATATCAAAAATAGCATCTCGCTTTGAAGTTGATTCAATGGTTTAATGTTTCTGTCAATTTTATAACAATACATAATAACTTACTGGATCGACTGTTTGCTGGATAATACGCAAAGCATTGCTATTCAAGCTGATAAAGAATAGAGTAGAAGAAAGCAACATAACCTCATCTTGAAATGACAGAAAAACAAGGTGCCCAATTTGGGCGAGCGTAGCAACTTAATAAGCATTCAACTTTGAAATAATTTTAACTTGAAATATCGGTAGTACGAATTTCAACATTTTTCTGGATTTTGTGTTCATGTACAAATACAAATAGTCGTATAATTTTGTTTTTAATTATCTTTTTCCCTTAAATGTCCACAGAATGGAATAGGGTAAAAGCGAATATAAGTGTGTGAGAAACATGAAAAGAAGGTTGAAATGATGCAAAAATGGGGGAAAAGAGAAAAAAGAGGGAGAAAGAGGAAAAATAAATTGGCGAATTACTTTCCCTTTCTCGATGTTGCAAAGAGTTTGATCGAAGGAGAAATAACGGTATAGGAGGATATCAGTTGATCGCATTTGTCATGCGAGTAATTTTTAGGGTGAAAAGACGGTTTCGCGGTGATTAATCATTTCCCTTCTAGCAGCTCGGCCTATTTAATAGCGTGTTCCAGTGGCCTGTCGCTCGGCCTTTTTATACCGGTTTCAAAGGCGGTCGAGTGTACTTGGTATTTCGTAGCAGCGTGTCGTTACGATGCTACCGTGCGAGATTTTTCCTACTATCGCCAGCGTTACCGAACTTTTCCCGTTTTTCCTTCGCGGAACACGTACGGATACCGCTCCGCAGTTTCGCATTCGCGATTCCGAGTTTTTGCCACGTTCGGTATCATCGCGCATCCGTGTACTTGGAGGTTTAACAGTTAAAAATTACTCTGGACTAGAAGACCGAGCAGCAGCCGGTACTCGAGGCAGCGAGATAGGAGCGAAATAAATGGTCGTTTTGGAAATGCTCGTACAGGCATACGATAGACAGGATTATTACGGCACTTGAACTCGGACTACGATTTTATTCGACTGGAAGTTCGGCAAGGGGAACAAACGTAATCGCGAAGGAGGAGCGAGTTATTCCCATCTTCGGATTGCACTCGCCGAATATAGAAAAGGATAAGAAGCAGCCAGCTCGTTTCTAATTTATCTCGGATGTAATTGAGGCTTTTCTTCCGGAAATCGCGTTTAATATCTCCTTTCCTTTTTCAAATCGCTCGATTAAATTTCCGATTCGAGCCGAGTTTAAATAAACGGATAAGCGAATAAATGTTTAAAAGGAGTCGTGTCGAATCCGGCAGTTTGCAGTAACGCGGCTAAAGCTCTCCAGAAATTAATTTATATACTCCCGATCTACAGGTTCGCTCGTTCGTTGTCTCGCACTTTCAACTCTTTCCATTTCATCTGTACGCTGTTTATGGCATTCGTCGGAGTACGGTAATTTGCCGTCGAAATTAACGTCCCGTTGCGTGTACGAAATTCTTCGCGCGCGTATCGGTGTAGTCGACGTTTGATCGTTAACGTGTAAATCTTGCGACAGGTTCGGGTGCAAAGAGTCGGCAAAGAGCGGCAGAACGGAGTTTCGGGGAGGAATTCAAGTTTGATATCGCGTACGCAAACGCGTACACGGCTACCGGCAAATAGCTACAGGTGAATTCGTAATTAGCCCTGTTCTCTTTTCGCATTCAGCGCGTCCAACCGCGACAGTCGTACAATATCGAACGAATTCATCGAACGTTACCGTCCACGAATCTCGATCGCTTTCTATTTTATCTTATCTCAACGTTTTAATTTCTACCGCGTGATAATGCACAAGTACCGCGACATGATCTCCAGCGCGAGCAACGTTTAACTCGATTAGCAAAAATGGTCCGCGATTAAGGCGCTATCGCATTTCACGATTCCTTTCGGGCCAGAATCCGCTGCACGCGATTTTATCGCCGATATCCGCGCTGATGGGACACGTTGGCCGACGAGATTAGGCAGAGAGAAGCGGAAAGAAGCGGAAAGAAGCGGAAGGAAAGTGGCGTAAACGTAAAGTTATTAAAGGGGTTGGTTCGATCGACTTAAAGGTAGCAGTCGCTAATTGACCGCTCGGGGCAGACGGGTGAGAGAGAGCAGGAACGTAAGGGTGGAAAGATGGTAGGCTTTATTCGGCGCATGGGTTGTTTTTCTTTGCTGCACGTAAGAAAACGTCACCGTCTCGCGTTCTCGTCGCCACTTTCCGCGAGTGAAGTCCCTCGGAGAGTTCTCGAGCGTAGCTTCGCAACAATACGAACTACGTAAGATTCGTCTTACAAGCGCTTGCACTTACACTCGAAAAGTATCAAGGACGACGGAGCACAGGATCTCTCGTATTCTCCGTGCCTTCGTGTCACGCTGCTTCGATTCTTTCCTATCAAACTGCATTTCCTCCTCTTTCGATACGCCATTTCGATATGCAGCTACGACGAGGATTAACGTTAACGCGATTCGCTCCTGGACCAAACACCCTCCTTACTCTCCTCGTCCCATTCGACTAACGTAACTAGACTTTCCCGATTTCCTACGCGCGTATGTCGAAAATTGCAAAGAAACTTTATATATTTTCCTAACTACCGTAACTTGGATTTAAGGATCGAAACTACGGCCCAAAAATCGTTTCGCGGAACGCCAACTTGGAAATTGAAGCTTCTATACAAATTTTGCGATTCGAGCATTTTCTGTTATAAATTCGACGATATTTTTCAACTTAACGCGTTAAGTTTAA